TCATCAATAAGAGAATCATAGTAAAGGTGAAGAGAAGAGGCGATGATCGCTCGAGGACACGGTGAAGAGAGCCCATAAATGTTTAGTATATCAAATTAAAATTCAATTTCAAATCTACAACAACTTTTGACCGTTTGCACTACCACTATTATCTTTTCAAATTTTAAATTATAGTCGTTAAGAGTAATAGGCCTCATTCGACCCACTTTCCAGCCCAAACCGTAATTAGCACTTGCGATAGCTTGGTTCAGTGATAATATCTATCCCTCAAATTATTTTTCTGAATCGAACTAGCCAAAACCAAACAAGTTTTTGATCTGGTGTTCGATCTTGTTCAGTTCTGGTTTTAGTTCGGCTCAGAAATCTCAGATTGAGTGTTACTTTCATTCAGTAGGTCAAAAATATTTCATTTTTCTGGTTCAGTTAAGTTTAGTAGTCGGTTGCGCATCTAAACAAAGTAGTTTACCAAATTTAACCAAGATAATAAATATAATCGAACCAAAGAAATGGAACTTAAAAAAACATATATATCTGAGTTTTTGAACAATTACACCAGTTAAGTACTATTTTCAAAACTAAAATAACTAAGAATGAATCAAACTGAATTTTTTTATTCAATTTGGTGAGATTTTTGGTGAATCAAACTAACCGTAAACCAAATTACTTGAAAGAGTTTAAACCGAATTATCTGCACTAACTTTATAGATTGAACTTAATGAGATGTTGGATGATTTGAACTAACCAAAAACCAAATTATTTGAACCGGTTTGAATGAATAAACAAAATTGCAGGCCTAATACCATTTGTGGACAAGAGAATCTCCAATATCTAAAACTCCATGGCACTTGAAAGATAAATCAACGACAATGCTCCAAAATCAGAATGGAGTCACCAAATCAGAAGTACACGTGTATACATGATGTTATGTCTTAATACAACATTTCAATGTTGTATATCATAAAAGTTCTATTATGTCTGTTTGATGTATTACACCTCCAATACCACTGCTTAGAGGAACAAAACCAGAACCAAACAATCACCAACCATTTTATAAAACTCTTCTCTACAAACCGGAAATTAAAAATTTTAAAAAGAAAATACAATGAAAAAAATACTTTTGATGTTTGTTTGTTTTTGGTTTTGGAACGGCTCTCCTGTAAACAAAATGCTTAATACAAAGAGGTACCTTTTCTTCTCCACACAGTATTATTAGGGTGTGATTTGCAAAGTTAAAAGTCACCTAGTAGGTCTTGAACTCGAGCTTCGGACAGTCACACCGTGCAGGAACTTTTTATACCCCAAGAAACTCAGCTTTCCATCCAAAGCCCGGATCCAATCTTTGAGCAAAGGATGTGCATTAGGCCCCAAACTCATCTCCTGCACATGCGTAAACCCCAAAATTCATGCCAATGATTGTGGTTTTAAAGATCTCAGAGATATATTGAAGTCCATGCATACCTCTGCGAGTTCTTGGACAGAAATGGCTCGGCTTCCTTCACGTTCGAAGTCCTCAAATGCCGTTGTTGCGATCTGTTCCCATTCTTCAAGAGCCTCTAGTTGATAAACGCTAACCGCAGCTGCACAGAACTCTTCAAAATCGAGTTTCCTATGTGCTAGGGGTTGCAACTTCAATTAACAAAAAGGAAAAAAAAAAGATGTAATTAGGCAGAGACTTGAAAAGGCTTGGGACTAAAGGATCAATGTGTTATCGCGTGTGTACCAAGTTTAAAATGTCAGGAAGCCTAGATTCGATCATAGCATCTGTTGCATATCTTGTCAAAGCCTGCACTTACCACTAGAATGTAAGAACATTTATCAAATGCTATGGTTAAAGGAGGAAAGATTACAAAACTGACCGTAGTGAAATTGTGAAGATACAAGCCTCCATCTTCTGGTTCAAGGAGCATGAACTGTGCTTTAAGGAACACAAGTTCCTCTTCTGGTATAGCTTTAGATAGAGACTGTGGATACAAAGTAACACCAAAATAAATATGTACACAAAGTACATATATATATAAATATGGTCACATCTCTTATTATCAGACAAGCATACCTTAAGTGCTGCTCGTCTGAAAGGAGATGCACGAATATAAGACTTCACTAACTTGTAGATGGAGAAATCAAGAAGCAACCCAGGGTTCTCACCTCGAAGCCATGGATGAGCTGCAAGTTTTTAGAACATACTCATGTTTTTCATTTCACCGATTAAAGTTTTAGCACTACTAGTATTAAGGAGCATACCTAAAGCTTGAGCAGCTGTCATTCTTTTCCTATGGTCTTTGTTCAGAAGCCTTTTCACAAAGTCTTTGGCAATAGGAGATATAGAAGGCCACGGCAGATCTTCAAAATTAGGATTCGCTCTAAGGACGCAGCGAAAGATGGCAGACTCAGTTCGTCCATAGAAAGGTCTACTTCCACAGAGTAATATGTAAGATATGACACCGATGCTCCATATATCTGCTTCAGTGCCATATGATCTGTGGAGTACTTCAGGAGCAACGTAGTATGCACTTCCCACCACATCGTTGAGACGCTGATCTGATTAAAACATCAACACACAGTCCTTTGTCAGCTCCCTAAGTAAAACACTAGAAGCAAAGAAAGAGGAACAAAAGACAAAGATCATTACCGAATCTGGAGAAATCAGATAAACCAAAATCTATGACCTTGAGTATTGCATCCTCATTTTTGCTGGTGTACAGAAAGTTCTGGATACAAAGAGTAGAGGGTTGCTTAAGAAACAAGCTATACACAGTTATGATATTTTTACAGTGGTGGAAGCAGAACGTGTACCTCAGGCTTCAGGTCACGGTGCACAACACCTTGAAGGTGGAAAAAAGCAGTTGCAGATAGAATCTGCACAAGAATACGCTTAGCATCTGCTTCTGGAAACCGACCACCTCTGTAGTAAGATATATAGAAAGTACATGTTTATACTCGATATGCAATACAAAGCTAAGCTAGTTATACCAAAACAAAAACAGAAATGTAATTTTTCTTATTTTTTTACCTTGACAAAATCCTATCCAGTAACTCTCCACCTTCACATAACCTGGAATCATATTGGAGATCAATGTCTTAAAATCAACACTACTTGTTCATTGCTCTATAAGAAAATTACTTGAAAACAAAACTTCTTCTAAATCTATAACTCAAGGATATTAGCATAAAACTAGACAAAGACATACTTACTCCATAACAAGAAAGACATTATCTGCGTCCTCGTACACATCGTAGAACTTAACCATATGCCTATGCCCAGATAGAGCTTTCAGCAGTTTCACCTCTCGACGAACATCTTCAATGGATAGAGCTGTTGTCATCTGAAACAAACTCCTCAAGTTCATCATCATATACATAAAGACACATTGTATCAACACAAAGAACATATCTTTGATCATTAGATATCCCCGAAGTCAAAATTTTCACATTGTCACAAAAACATGTCAAGAGAGAGAACGAGACAAACTTTGGCTTTGGCGATGATCTTGACAGCTACCGTTTGCCCTTTGATCTTCCCTTTCTTGGCTTTAGCCCAACAAGTATGACCAAAATGCCCTCGACCAACCTCCTTCCCTAGCTCGTACTTCCCTTCGAAGTTCTTGGAGAATCCAAAGTTCTTATCCAACCTCTCACCGTTCTCGCCGGCTCTTCCGTGATGATCGTCGACTTCCTCACTATCCTCAGGGATGGGCTCGTCTCTAGGCTGAGGAGCCGTACCTCTTCGCCGCCTCAGAGCCGCCAGAATCGGTTTCGCAGGTGAAGGAGGCGGGAAAGGCCATTTAAACTTTCTTCCCGGCGTTCTCGCCGGAGATGGAGCTACTCCCGCCGGCAACGGGCTTTGAAATGGGCTAATGGTGTAAGGGTTGACTTCCGTAGCGCCAGACGCAACTGGAGAACTGGGAACTGACGGCGTATGGTGGTTGTTTTGAAGCTGGGCGGTTCTGGCGGCGAAATCGCCGCCGTTATCTTCGACGGTGGAAATGTTCCGGCTGTAACAATGACCCATCGTTGCGGTATGGTTTGAAAGTCAACTAGTTGATCGTTAAAAGTCAAATCATCGGACGGTAAGTCGAATAGTAAGCTTTCAGAGATCAACAGAGCCCAAAAGAATGTTTAAACGACTGATGAGGAGACATGAGAACAAATAAAACACAAGGCGATGATTTAATAATTAATTTTTATTATTACAAAACAAAGTTTGAGTTCAAGAAGGTTTTGTAATGAAAAAAATAACGGATGAGAGGGCGTTGAAAAAGTGCCGGTGGTTTGCTAAAACGACAGCGACGGAAACGTGACTCCTACGACAGTCGCGTGTGCGTGGTGACGTGATTTGATTTCTGTGAAATTTTTGCTGTAGTTAACTTTTTTTTTTATCAAAAAGACTAACGGATAACTCAATTAAAAATGTCATTATAATGTGTTAGACATCATAATATTATCGAAATTAGAGGTTGATAACTGTTTGACCAAACGAAAAAGTAAGAAGTGGAAAATTATGTATAAGTGGAAAGTTTAAATACAAAAGCAGACAAATATCTTTGACAATTTTTTCAATTAAAATGGTTTATCTGCTAGAGTAACGTAGTTTTGGAGAAATTGATTGAATTTGGTAATAAATGGTAAATAAGAGAAAATGTGATTTTGAATAGTTGACGAAAATTAGTTTTCCTACTTTGCAACACGCGGAAACTACAGATACGGCTACCAACTAGTACTATAACCGGGTTAAATCCATTTGACATCGAAATAGTCACGTCGTTTGAGCTTTGAAGAAGTCTAATCAATTGATTATTGTTTGGTGCTGAAAAGAACTATAATTGTTTTATGGGTCAATCAAATACATCGAAATAATCAACGTTAAAGACTAAATTGATAAGACCATCCGCAACGGGGGTACGTGGACCGAGTCCTTACGATTTTGGGATTAAAAAGAAATCGATTTGGGCTCGAAATTAGAAGGATTTGTACGGTTGAGTCGGTCTGTAAGGACCCAAAACATGGAGTCCTTCATGCACGTGTCCTTGTTTGGTTGGGCCGGTGAGCGATAGGGTTTTCTCGTGTTGGGAATAATTTTCATTTGGTATCGAAGGGGTGAAAACAAAAATCAGAGCTCGAGAGACGAAGGCGATAGAAGCCACCGTCGATCTTCCTCTTCTGTGCTCTCCTTAACGATATATTTTAGGTTCGTGTATCTTCAGTGGTAGATCTAGAGATTTGGTTCGTTGTTCTTCGGTGGTAGATCTAAGGAGAGATTAGGTCAGTTTTTTTTTGTCGTCTCCGTCTATGTTTCTTATCTCGGTTGAATTGATTTGTTTTGTAGTTAGCTCGATTCAGATTATTAGGTTTTGAATTCGTTTTTGTTTTGATTATTTAAAAGGATTAGGGTTTTAATTCGATTTTGTTTTCGGTTTCAGTCGAGGTGATAAAAGCTTAGGGTTCAGTTTCAGTTTCAGTTTGTGATGAAAGCTTAGGGTTTCATATCGATTTTGTGATCGATTTTGTTTTCGGTCTCAATTTGTTGAGTTTGTGATGAAAGCTTAGGGTTTCAATAAATTGAGTTTATCATATATCTAAGTAAATGTGTTCTTAATAAACAGCCTAGTTGTGTTGTTAAGCTTTACTATCTTCCTTTGCTTCGTGTTCTCAAGCTTTAATATTTAGTGTTCTTCTGTTTTTTTTTGCAGGCAAACGGACCATGGGACAAGACTATAGTTACACGCAGCCTTCTTCATCAGAAGAGTTCGACATGAACTCCTTACTTGAAGCAGAGGCTGCTCTTTATGCGGATGAAGGCGATAGTAGCTTCACATGTGCAGCGGCGGTTCAGTACATCATTGATCCTGAGGCTGATGAAGGAATACCGAGGGTATGCTATTGCGGTAGTGATCCAGTTGTGGAGACGTCGTACACTGCAAAAGATCCAGGAAGGAGGTACTTCTACTGCCCCAACGTTGACGATGGAGACACTCACATCTGGAAATGGTGGGATTTGGCGATTCAAGAGGAGCTTCTTGAAACCCAGACACAACTTAGGATGGTCAAGGATCAATGCTTTGAGAGTGACCAGAAGGTGGCTAAGCTCGAGAAAATCGTGGGTGTATTAACTAAGAAGAAAGCAGGTGTTAAGGATGGGTTGGGGAAGGTAGTTTGTCTACTGTTCTTGCTAATACTGGTCATCGTAGGCTGGTAAGTTTTATACTTTCTTCAGATAAATATTTTTGGCAATCCAATTGCCATTACTAACTGCTTTTTCTTATGTCTTTCAAGGAAGAGTTTCAGAGGATTTGAACATCAGTGTCTGACCTTGGAATGGGCCTCTCAGGTAATTTGTTTCTTTCTTACCATACTTTGAGTAATAAAAACATGTATTAGTTTATAAAGATAATTTCCGTGAACTAAAAATAAATTATGTGAGTAATAAAAATACTTTGAGTAATAAACACACTTTGAGTAATAAAAACGTAGCTAGTGTACAACTTCTATTCACCATTTTCTTTAAGTTCTTTCGTCTTTTTAAAAATTAATATGATGTAATATTAATAGTCAGTAATATTATGTAGTGAGGAACTTCTCCGAGATTATATAATATATCTTCTCCTTGTTTTGTTTGGTTTGCTTTCAAAATGTGAGTTTTTAATGCTAGATTTGCTGCCTTCGTACTTGTTAGGTTAAACGTAGCTAGTGTAGAACTTATTGCGTAGTTACTTTCTATCGGTTACTTAAGGGTTTTTAATGCTAGATTTGATGCCTAACTACTCCAAAACTAAATGTGTAGTTACTTTTTATCGGTTACTTAAGGGTTTGTGTTGGTAATAGAGTAACACAAACCAAAATCTAAACATGAATACCCCCCCCCCCCCAAATGGCTTTATTAATCTCTTGTACAGTCAAACGTCAGTTGATCTTGAGTCCCCCGAACCATCTTGGTTCGGTAGGCAAGGTCCTGATGAGTCTTCTTTCCAACAGGTAGTCGAGTGTTCTTTCCAAACTGGTGTTGAGTCCCATGTCGAGCCTACTTTCAGGTCTGCTAGCAAAGAGAGGAGGAAATGGTCTACCAATGAGGATAAAAATCCTCATTGGTGCGTGGCTTAACACCAGCAAAGACCCCATTGTGAGCTGTGACCAGAAAGCTGAGCGTTTCTGGAAGAGAATTGTAGATTACTACAATGAGAGCCCTCAACTGATTGGGACGGTACCTAGAGAGCTTGGTCCAGCGAAGCAGAGGTGGGCTAGGATTAATGAACAAGTATGTAAGTTCGTTGGTTGTTATGACGCGGCATTGAGGGGGCTGGGAAGTGGCCAGAATGATGACGATGTGATGAAAGAGGCTCTGGACTCGTTTTCAAAATTGTATGGCATGAAGTTCAGCCTTGAACACGCGTGGAGGGAGCTTAGGCATGACCAGAAGTGGTGCACGACCTACATTGGTGGGAAAGAGAAGCGCAAACAAGTTGATACAGAAGATGAAGTTCCCGAGCCTGAAACCAGACCACCAGGTGTCAAAGCTGCTAAGGCTGCTGGTAAGAGAAAGAAGAGTGGGAAGGAACAAGAAATGTCACAGCTTCAGTCCATCTTGGAAGTCAAACATAAAATCAGTAAAGAAAAGATTCTAGAACGTTTGCTTGCGAAAAAGGATCCTCTCTCGGAGGTGGAAGAATCTCTTAAAGTGAAACTCATGACTGAGATGATATGATGATTTGAAGGTATTAGGTTAGGTTAGTAACAAGTTGTTTCATGCTAGTATAGGTTTGATATTAAGTAACAAGTTGTTTCATGCTAGTATAGGTTTGATACTAACTCTTGTTTGCTTGTCTTGTTGTTGAACACATTTATTTGTTTTCATGTATTGTACTAACTCTTGTCTTTTGTTTTCTTTCAGGTGTAGCTGCTGAATAACAAGTCACGGGTTCTCAGAAGGTACAAGAAGTCACGGGTTCTCAGAAGGTACAAGAAGTCACGGGTTCTCAGAAGGTACAAGAAGTCACGGGTTCTCAGAAGGTACAAGAAGTCACGGGTTTCAATTGGTGGTCACGGGTACTGAAGATGTTTTCTCGGAAAGTAGAAGAAGTCACGGGTAGTTGTAATAGCTAGTATAAGTTTCCATTGTATCATCTCATTAGGTAGTTGCTTTTTTCTCTTATTCAAGCACATCTATCTCTAGTTTCCTTTTCTCTTACTCAAGCAATCTATCTCTAGCTTCCTTTGTCGGCTGTTTGTGTCTTACTCCCGTCTTGTAATCAACTACTATTTCTTCTATAAACTCGGTAACTTCTTTTGTTAACTTCTTTTCTTGTAATGATATTGAAATGCCAAGTTTTTATGTTTCTTGAGATTCCCAGATCGATTATTACAAACTAAGTCATAGGATTTTTTACTTGTATTAGAATGCTGAGTAATGCATTCTCGGTAACTTCTTACTCGGTTTTTATGTTTTCTCAAAGAGTTAAGTCATATGACTTAGTTAATTCATATTGAAATGCCAAGTTTTTATGTTTTCTCAAAGAGTTAAGTCATACGAACACCTAAAATGACATACCTAAAATGACATACTCGGTTTTTTACTTGATAAAATGACATGCGTAATTTTTTGACTTGAGTAATGCCGAATTGGTTTGACTTGAGTAATGTCTTTTACTTATAATGCAAGTTCTTTTACTTATAATGCAAGTTATTTTATTTGTCATTCCAAATTCGTTTGTGCTCGAAATTTGTTTGTGCTCGAAATTAGTTTTTTAATATGGTCGATTTTATAATGCAAGTTCGGAAGACATTTGATGCGGGTTTTTATAATGCAAGTTTTTTTATTCTTTTTTTGTATAAACCAAGTTTTCACATTAAGATGATTAATCATGCAGTTTAAATTCTATTATGTTGCATTTTAAAATTATGTTGCATTATAAATTTTAATTTTTTTTTATAAATAGATTTGTCTTTTTGCACCAATTATTTAACTTGATGTTTTTAAATGGCAGGACGGAACAGAAATAAATAACCGAAACCCGAAAATGTCATCATCTTCATCCGATGGAGTGGACGAAAGATTGGACGAACTTATCGACGATCTCATAGACGATACCTACAACAACATTTTGGAGGCCCAACCGAAGCAGCCACATCCACGTTCTTATATAGAACGAAACCGAGAATCCGGACACGACCGTCTATGGCAAGACTACTTCAGCTAAGAGCGGACATTTCCGGCACATTTATTCCGACGCCGTTTCCGTATGAACAAGGACTTATTCATGCGTATTGTCAATGCCCTCTCCGAAGAATTTCCGTTCTTCCAACAAAGAAGAGATGCAACCGGGAGGTTAGGTCTTTCACCCCTACAAAAATGTACGGCAGCAATTCGAATGCTTGCTTATGGTTCTGCGGCTGACGCGGTTGACGAATATCTCCGACTTGGTGAAAGCACGGCACTTTCATGTTTAAAAGATTTCACTGACGAAATAATCCAGCTATTTGGAGAAGAGTATCTACGAAGACCCACACCAGATGATCTTCAACGACTCCTCGATATTGGAGAGGTGCGCAGATTTCCTGGGATGATAGAAAGCATTGACTGTATGCATTGGAAGTGGAAGAACTGCCCTACTTCTTGGAAAGGACAGTACGCACGTGGATCAGGAAAACCGTCAATTGTCTTAGAGGCTGTTGCTTCACAGGATCTTTGGATCTGGCACGCTTTCTTTGGTCTCCCGGGTACCTTAAACGATATTAATGTCCTATAGCGGTCTCTTGTCTTTGATGACATTACGCAAGGTCGAGCTCCCTCCGTACAGTACGTGGTCAACGGACACATGTATAATCTGGCGTACTACCTCACAGACGGTATCTATCCAAAGTGGTCAACATTTATCCAATCTATCTCACTTCCTCAAGGTCCAAAAGCCGAGTTATTTGCTAAAGTTCAAGAATCAACCCGAAAAGATGTGGAGCGGGCTTTTGGAGTATTGCAAGCTTGATTTGCAATTGTGAAAAAACCCGGCTCTTTCATGGGACAAGGAAAAGTTAGGGAAGATTATGAGAACGTGTATCATATTACATAATATGATTGTCGAAAATGAAAGAGATGGATACACTTAGTACGATACATCAGAATTTGAAGAAGAAGGTGCCACCAGAAGTGCAAGGATCGATATGTCTTATAGTGCCTACATGCCTCCAAATCTCGAGGAAATGCATGGCATTCGGATTCATCTTCGTGATAAACGTATACATCAACAGCTCAAAAATGATTTGATTGAGAATATTTGGAGCAAATTTCGTGATGATCAGTAAAAGTTATTGTATCTTTTTTAAAAATTTCTAATACAAAATTTTAATTTACCCAAATTTATATTTTTAATATTTTTTTATTTCTAAGGATTCTATTTCGGGTAACACCAGTGCACATACATAAAACAATTAAAATTCTTAACTATTCAAACAAAAAAAATATTTTTTTTAATGCTAAGGACTCCATCCACAAATCCACCATTGTGGATGGTCTAACTGCCTCGTGCATATTAACTAAAGCAAAACCAAAAATCCCCTGGTTCAGTCAATACGCAATACAAATACAAAAATAAGATTTTTCAATCGTTAACCGGTTCAATCAGCTTCCCATAAACCGATCCAGTTAGTTTAGTGCTGAACATCCTCGTGAGTCCTGATCATCCGTTTTCTTATCGTACCAAAAATAACCATCAGATTGCGGATTATCTTTGTGAAATGACAATCGCTTTCTAACCAATTTTAATCTTGGTTCGTTTTCATCTAAACCGGTCTGGTTTGATCTCTGCCTAGGTACGCTTTGTGGTCGGAACCTAGCCACGGTTGAGGCAGTGGTAGACATGTAATTTGGTATCGAATGGACTTGTCTCGCGACGCGAGAATTCTCACGTGGCGTTCGGTCGTTGCGTTGTTGGTGGTGTGAGTACGTATTGTACGTATCGATCTCAACTATCTTGACCGGTTCAACGATTGTCTGATCGGTTGACATTCTCCTTCCGAATTCTTGATAACCGAACCGGTTTACTCTACGTGGTCTTTTGTCCTCTAATTCGCTTTCACTATGTGCTTCTCTCGCTGTGGTTCTCCACATCTTTATTTGTAAAAACCCGAACAAAAATACCGATTTACTTATTAATATATTGTAAAGTAAATGTGGGAAATTAGTAAATATTATATTTGTAGATGAAATTGGACCTGTTTAGAGAAAGCACGAGACAAGGTAGCTCCGTCCCCAGGACTGGCCGTGAGTTTTCTCCGGTGATCCATAACCCGAGCCTGGACCCGAACCAGAGCCTGGACCCGATGCAAAGTAATGCTAGCTCGTCTACGCACGTTGTGGCCTCTCACTAGGGCTTGTAGTAACACAATTCCTTTTAGGGCCTTGAACGCCTTTCGTGCCTTGAGTTACAAGTTACCAAAATCACAGTTTCATTTACAAATTGATATAGTTTTGACAATCTTAGCATAAATATACGTCAGTTTGGTTTGAAGTTATAAATATTATCTTTTAACTTTCAAGTTTGTCTGGTGACTATGACATAAAAGTACGTTACAAACTACAAAGTCAACAAATGATATAAAAAGTATATAGAGGCTGGAATATAGCAAGTATTGATTTTACCAGGCATCCTCGGAAAGCTGTCTGAATGAGAATAGCAGCCAAGTGTCTTTTAAGGTAGACAGATGTCCGACAGAAATAGACGGCTTCCTTTGCCGCCGGAGACGCTGTTTTCTCCTTTTCCTCGGCCGGAATCGCATCAACAGCGGCAGAACTAGTGTTGCCTGCATTTTTAATGTTTATTCCGACGTCTCTTGCACAAGAATCAGAAGAAGCTTTCTTGAATAGCCATCTTCTTTTTCCTCTCTTCTGCACCAAACCAAATTATGATTATTATCTAAAAGCTTTTAGTATGCAAGTTGTAAATGCCCAAGTTCAAAAATCAGTTTATAAATCAATTTTTATGCTGATGAAGATTTTTTCAGTTATACTAACTTGATGAGAAAAAGTTACATTTAGAGAATATATTGAAGAGGAAGATGTGAATATTACTGTATATAGTATGAATGAAGCTTAAAAATCAAGAAAGGTCCACTATATATATTTAAGTGTGAAGCAAGTACCGTTTGTTGCTGGTGTTCCTCTTCGTCTTCTTGGGCAAGGCCGTTGTATTGTTGACGTTCTCTTCTTCTGGGGCCTTTCTTCTCCGGTGACCGAAAAACATTCTTAACCGCAGTGAGCCACGAACTTCCGCTGTTCTTCCCCATCAAGATCTTACCTTGTCGGCTTAATCTTTGCTAACTCTTGTCACTTTCTTGGTAATACGGAACACATAAAGAATGGTTGAGCAAAGAAGGAACACTCTCCTTTATAAGTGAAGAGCAGGAACCTTTTTATTGATCAATATTAAATAAGAAATTTCGGAACATTTATATATATTTGGTGATAGAATAAAAAGTGAAACTCGGATCTATAATATTGATCTTATTCTAATTTTTATTTAAATATATATTCTGCTCGGTTTAGCGTCCCGTATAACAGTTCCATTCAAAAGTGTACTTATCCACTATCTCTACGACACGAACACATATGTTTTGTCACGTCCATGCTTGATATCCATCACAACTCACAAGTAACGGCCAAATGCAAAACGAATATCAATATTGTATATCCCATAGATATAAAACAAACACATAATGTATCCGGAAAAGCTGCAAGAAAGAGGAAAAATGTTGGAGTAAGAAGAATAACCAAGCGGAAAATAAAAAAGTAAAAGATAAAGGAAACAAAAGAAGAGTGGAATAGGTAGGTAGGCATGCTTTGTGTTTACAAATTAGATAGCTTTGTGTCAGTAACAACCATTATTGTAATACGAAAGAATGTAAAATGCATCTCTCGAGAGTGCAGAAAGCTGTTCATCCTCTTCTTTCCTTTTATTACTCATATAATCATTTCGTTAGCCATTAACGTCCCTATCTGTCTTGTTTATCATGCTTTTGTGTATTCACTCTCGTAGTTTCGATTGTTAAGGAAAAAGTGACTGCTAGCCAAAACAGAAAGAGAAATATAATAGAGATTGAGAAATATAATAGAGATTATATGTTTGTATATCCTAAATGGATCCCTTAATTAGCACATTACCCATGATGTGACAATTGCAAAATATTCATGTCTAGCTCAACTACTCTACAGTCACTCCTGCATGTATCAGCCACTCTATACTCACTTGTATCAACTGATGCATTCTCTACTTTTTTATTATATTTTTGTTTCTAATTTTATGAAGATATCATGTTAATGTACTCTATTTTCTGTGTAAAACAATTATTGTTGCGAAGAAAATCTAATACTGTTTTACCACTATTCCTATGAATCTAAATTATTTTAATTATATCACATCCTGAGAAAACCAACATTGAGATATTTTTAAAATGCCAAAGATGTTAACAATGGTGTTAGCTGTTAACTAATAAAGTAGATGTTAACATATGTGTTAGCTGTTAAAAATACATGTATTAGTTGTATTAACAGAGGCATTAACCGTTAATAAAATTTGTAGATGTGAACAGATGTCTTAGCTGTTAACAAATACATGTACCATAATTGTTAACAGAGGTGTTAGTTGTTAATACATGCGTTAGGTATTATATGGTAACAAAAAAAATATTGTTGAAGTTTCAATTTCTCTCTCGAACTGAGTAAATTTATCCGGTAACAAAACATGTATCAGTTAACAAATGAGTTAACTGCTAACAATTAATCTAACACTAATATCAAATTTATAACATATTGTAAATTTTAGAGATGTTGAAATCTTGCAATCAGTTGTAATTTATGTTTTTAATTATATCAAATGTTAAATTATTTTATCTATTATAATATTTTTATATTATATTTTTAAAAAAAATATAATAAGAAAAAGAGTGAGAATAAAAAAAATTATGTTATTAGGGGATACATAATTACAGAGGAAGAAAAGAAAGAGAATATCGGATGAAGAAAGATAGTGTCCGGAGGAAAGATAACGTCAGGAAGTTATTATGGTCCAACCTAGTGTAAAATTGTAAAGCAAATTGCATTTGTGTCTAATCATTGTTACTTCTCTAATATCAATACCAAATATGGGTATTTGGCTAATTCATTCAATATAATATTCTATTCTTCTATTATTTGTTAACGTAATCATATAGGTTTCCATTGGTGACACGATAAAACCTTTCCTTTTGCAGTAAAAGGTTCTGATAAACACAAATAAAAAATAGTTATTCTTTGGTTTATTTTTTAGGATGAACCTCTAGATTCACCAACTAATAATAATGTGTTATTTCATATTTGATATTTAGAAAAAAAAAAAAAATTTGTTAAATTATATTATATTTTAAAAACTAAAATATAAAATATAAAATAATAAATAAAATAATGATATTAACAAAAAACGATACTGAGAACAATACTTCAGCATATTTAGAAAATATAACGTAAATGCATTATTAAAAATATTTCTCCTTTAATATATAGGAATACCAGGAAAAAAAATTGTAAACCTCTGCCAAAACAATAATTGTAAGCAAAAGAAAAGGGTAAAATGCGTAAAGGCAAACGGAGAGTGCCTAATTTTTTTTTCTTCTCCATAGTTTTTTGTTTTTTTTTTTTCTGTCAAATTGAAATTCTCATGCAAATTACTATATTCATAAACACTGGCGGCAAAATGAATAGTCCCAAAACCAAGAGCCCATTGAAAGAGGCAACTAAAACCCATGCAGAGCAATTAAACCTACACTGGGGTAACTTAATAAAACATGAAACATAAGAACTAACATGATACTAGCATCAAAAGATCAGTTAAAAACATGACACTAGCACCATAGCGTTTTTATATTTTATAATAATTTCAAGAACAAATAACAGAAAAAAAAAACTAGCTTAGATAATCAAACCGATGGTAAAATATCTGGACCATAAGAAGAAAATCTCCTAGTGAACTTTGCAAGTTAAAATAGCCAAAAAGCATCATATGATGCGAAATACCTAACGAATGCTTAGGAGGAGCACACAATGCAAAGAACACGAAAGCCAAACTAGACCCGAGTTCGGACAAGATCTAACAGAGATCAAGAACCAAAAGAAAACAGTGAACTGCTCCAAATGTCTTAGATAGTTCAATAAAAATATCCAAAAGGGTACTTGGACAATAACAATAACAAAAGAAAAAAACGAAGCCAATCTTTGTTTCTGGAGACTTAAAGAAAGTAGGAGAAAGTTAAAGATAAAAGTTGTTCAAAGATACCGGGCAGGCTCTGCTGCGACTGGGAAGTTAACTTAAAAATAAAAGACTAAAACGCCTCAAATACCTTCTTCTTCTTTAGACTTCTCCACATGCTTTCTCTCTCTTTTTCTATATATATATCTTTTGGGATCTCCAGCAAGAGCTTTGCCATCATTTCATTTGCACTCATCGCGGTGAAGGTGCGGCCTTACTGGTGTCTTTGATGGGCTTACCCTTCAAAACACACACACATAAATCAACACATATATGATTATAACATTCCTTATTAATCTTATATTTTAACATATGTAAGACACCGAGAAAGATATCACATTTTATGTAACTGAAATCACAAATAGAATCTAGTAACGCCTAATACTACAACCTTCCATGCAAAAATTGACATCAAGGGGATACAAACAGATAAATCTCTTACCTTATTGGGAGTGCTCCCAATACAACACCACTGTAGTGAAGAGCAGCAATTGCACTCTCCGCCTGAGACATTAGAACAAAATGTGAGCTCCCATTCACAATCATAATCCATATAATATGAAATGGAGCCAAATGAGAGTGAAACTAAAATAAAAAAGTTTGAAACCTTGGATATGTAAACTTCATATCCAAGTGTATGCATCTAACTCTTGAGATTCAAAGAAGCTGAGAGACGATCTTTAAACAGTAGAATCCTAACTAGCAACTGAAACTAGGCAGAGAGTTACCATGGCAAACTCAACAAAAGCGAAGCGGGTTTGGTGGTGATAGTCTCCAAGCCTCAGACGATGAACCTACCACAAGATATGAGACAATATTTGATCAGAAAACACAATATATAATCTTAAACCGTCCATCATATTCCAAACCAAATCCTTACCTCTCCACAAAGCATTTCAAAGAAGCCTTTCAAGTCAGTTTGACTAACCTGCAGGTTCAAGAAACAAAGACATTGATGAATGTTAGTTTTCTCTAATTACTTTGAGCAGCTAACAGTTTCTTAAGGAAATCAAGTTACCCGCTTGTCAATGTTGGTACAGTAAACAGTCCTCACGCACATCTCACGCTCAACCTCAGACTAGCAGAAAGAGTCATCATTATGTTGATGATTTGGTTAAATAAGAAGCCAAGTTTAGAACCTTGATTATGTGAACTTACCCGGGGAAGGAATGTTGGGTTAACAGGGGCGATAGCGGTTTTGGAAGGAAGCACCTTAAGAGGGTAAAAACCAAGCAATGTTCCAGACATGCTCAAAGCAGCTCTAGCTCCCTCTGCAGTAACATAATCTATACTAGTTAAGAAACAGTACTTTCAAAAGAATCTCAACTAGTAAAAAAAGTACCTTCATTGGTGAATTCAACAAATGCAAAACGGAGGACAGACTTTGGATCACCGCAAACACGGCAATCAACAACCTTTGGATCCCAAAATGAGAAAAGATAATATGAGGAAACAATTTACTGCAGATGAAAACATTTTGAACATAGAAAGATCATTTAAGTACCTGTCCACAGTTGACAAAGACACCTGCGAGGCTCTCCTCGGTAACCTAAACACACGAGACAAAGTAAGAGAGGATTCTTTTAGGAGAAAAATGGTATCCAAAGCCAATAATTTCCCAAATGTTTTTACCTGTTGATCAATTTCAGAGACATATACAGTTCTCCTGATGACATCTTCCTTCTGAGCCAAGCTAGTTCTTTTGTTCATTCTTCTCTTCCCTTGGCCAAAGCTCCTTCTCTGCAGCCACAGGTAAAACAAGATTACAAAATTGATGTCGCACACTTTCTTTTACGTATGTAGCAGATGAAAACTTCAACAGTCATACACATAATAAAATAAATTGTAACGGTACTAGTAAAAAGTAAAAAGCAAACAACTGTAACTTGGTGTTTCAAAAAAAAAAAAAACAACTGTAACTTAACAAAAAAACACACTCAAAGTATAACTGCTTCTCCAACAATGATCAAGCGTAATACTCAAAGAACATTTAAAGCTCGGAACTTTCAGTTATCTGTTTAACATACACAAGCTTTCTCAATCAACAAAGAAGCTACCAAATGATGGTAAACAAAACACACACAAAAGTTCAAAACTTTATATTAATCCATGTCAGAATTCACACAGTTATAGAAAAAAAAACACTCAGAAACAAGACAACAAACGAAGAGTTAAACTTGTCATTTCATACACACACAAACTTCTTATCCATCAAACATCACAGAGAGATCAAAATTCAGCTAGAATAGATGAGAATATATATACACATACCCTTCGAGCAAGATGATCGCTCCCATCTGCAAAATTGTTAGTAAACCCGAATCCATTTCTGAAACCCCCAGATTGAGTTCGAGCAAGTGAAGGAGGAACAAACTCCTTCGCCATGGGGTTGAGCTTAGAGAACGCATCAGACAAATCTTTGATCTCACTCTTGAGACTCCCTCCACCATTTGGAGTGGTCTGAGTCTGACCCTTTGGGGCAATCTCAATGGTCCGGTCGTCGGAATCTGGAGTCGGAGAATCCGATGAGTCAAGGGAGGAGGAATCGGAGTTAGGGCTCTGATCATCAGGACATGAAGGCGGCTTTGTGTCGGCTGCTGAAGAAGCAGTGTTGTTGTTGTTGTTGTCTAAGTTCTGAGCAGAAGAGTCAACCTTGATACCAGCATTTTCAGCGACGGCCATGATCGGGACACAAAGAGGTGAATCTCCACAAAGATCAGACACAAAGTTACTAACTTTGACGATTTCTGCAATCAAAATTAAAATCAAACTGAGAAAGAGAATTTGAAAACAAAACACAGAGAGAAAGAGGGAGACTTATGAATTGATACGAAACCTGAGACTTATCAATGGTTTTCCATAAATGGAGAAAACCCCAACTTTATATCAATTACAGCCACTGACCAACAAAATAAATAAATAAATTTAAGGCAAAAATTAGAGAAAAAAATTAAAGGAGAGCTTGACAACAAAAACAAATTAAAGCAGAAACCGAAGTCTAACTATAAATTATTTAATAGTTGTGTAGGAGATGGGTTATACCCCTCCGCAAGGCTCATCAAATGGAGAAATTTATCCCAACACGATAATGTACTCGGCCCACCAGGTAACATCAAAACGACTCAGCATGAGACGCGTTTAGTAGCGCGACTAAGAGAGTCGGCTGAAGTACGACTTACCCGGACTACTAAACGGGCCTAATAAGCATCAAGCCCAACAAGGCTCAGGTAAAATAGGGCGAACACGAAGACATGGTCTATAAAAGGAGAGAGGCAGCAAAGGGGAAAGGAGATCCGGAATTCGACATACTTACTTGGCGGCTAGATCTAGGGTTTCTTAGCGACTAGGTGGTTAGATCTAGGGTTTACTCACCTTCACTGTTTACTCACCATCTTGTATTTCCGGCTAGTCCGCCTCCTTACTCTCCTCTTTGTAACTCCTTGTTCAGATCTAATAAAAACGTCTTTGTTCGCCCCCCATCTCTCTCTTTATATTGTTCTAAACCATTTTCACCTCAAACAATTTGGCGCCCACCGTGGGACTCTGAACAAAGCAACGTTATCAGATCTAGACATGCCAGACGACGGAACCGTCTCCGGAACAGCCGGGGAGGAGCCGACTCAGACTCCAGTACCCGAAACATCCCTTCCGCCCGACTTCATGAGCTCCGTCATGGCGCGTTTCGCCAGACAAGACGAGATCCAAAAAGAGACTCAAGCTCAACTCGCCGCGCTCGTAGCAGCGTTAACAGCAGCTCCCGCCGGGCAGACTAGTAACTCTCAACCGTTCCGACGTCACCTCTTCAACACCAACCCGACAGCGCCGGTAGCCGACCATACCTCCGAAGAGTCGGAACCCAGCGAGCCGCACGCTGCAGAAGCAGCTCAAGTCGGCCCAGATCTCACGACTATCCGTGAAATCGCCGAGTTCAAACTGAACCTCCAACAGATGAGCTCCACGATTCACAAGGTTACTAGCGCCGCTCCACAGATCGAGAGTGTTCTCGCTTCAACCGAGCGTACCCCATTCACTAGTACGTTGACTAGCGTAAACTTCCGCAAGATCGAGAAGCTGCGCGTTCCGCAATACAAACCCCGCGGTGACCCTGTAGAACATATGACTGCTTTCAACATCGCGATGGCCCTAGCGCGGCTACCCGACGACGAAAAGGACGCCGCATACTGTCAGCTGTTCGTGGAGACACTCCACAACCAAGCCTTGACCTGGTTCTCAGGCCTCAAGGAGAACTCCATCAGCAGCTTCAGAGAGCTTTCGTCGGCTTTCCTCAAAACCTACATCATGTTCACTAAGCGCGAAGCGACAGCCTCCAGCTTGTGGAACCTAAAGCAGACTAAAGACCAAAGTCTCTGAGACTTTATGGAGCGCTTCAAGTCGATCGTCTCAAAGATCGACATCCCTGACCACATAGCCGTCGACGCTCTTATGAACACCCTCCATCTCGATTCCAAATTCCGAGAGGACCTATACCGGAGCACCTCCACGACGCTCCAGGATGCCATAGCTCGTTCACACAACTTTATCCGCATGGAGGAAGACACGAAAGCAATCATGGGAAAACATAGCGCAGCGAAGCCGACAACGCCCAAGACCTCTGACACGAAGACGGAGCCGCGTTAACACGTGTCCGGCGACAAGAAACAACAAAAAAGCGGGCTTCTGTTTGTTGTCGACGAAATCAACACACCAGTCGCAAGTTTCTCAGTACGCGGCGAACCATGGAACGTGTACAACCGAGAGACGGCGGCTCTGAAAGGTTTGGCTAGTCCCGCCGGACCGGCTCAACCAGCTTCGCCGGCTACCTCAGGAGCCGGGTCTTCTAAAGGAGTCGACCTCACCAAACACTGTAAGTACTATGACGTCAAAGGACACGATACAACCGAGTGTAGAACGATGTACGCTGAATTCCTCTCATCGGTTGAAAAAGGCGACTTCAAGATTCAGCCCCCAAAGCAAAAACCAAAATCCGGCAAGAGTTGGTCTAAGAACAAGGACAAACGCGCACAGCGAAAGTCCGGTGGTAAAAACGGAGAGCAACGCCGTCCAGACGACAAACCTTCGGATGCCGCGGACAACGAAGCCTCTTTGGGAGACGAGGGGCAACCAGCAAGCCGTCAACGTATTGAGGTAATACGATCTCAGCAACCTTTGTCATCCGATGATGAGGACGATAACTCGCCAGTATTAAGCGACCTTCGGAGCTTCCTCAAGCGAAAGGTGACTACATGCAATGACGTCAACAGCAAAGACCTCCGCCTCATGCTCAAAGCCAACAAGTCGCGGCGCCTGGAAACCGAAGAGCCTCCCTTGTCAGTCGACAAGCCTGTCACCGATCTGCGCGACAAACTCAACGCTAACCTGACCGATTTACGCGCGCGACTAAACCGTTCCAAATCGATAAATCAACGGCTAGAGCATTCAACTTCGTCCCATACCATGGACTCGTCACAGCCGAGCGACGAGAGCGTCCATGCGGATCTTCGTACATTCTTAGATACCAAACGAGTAGTCGCGAAACCACAGCTGAACGTCATCATGGGTGGATCACCTCCTTGTGGCAACTCTGTCCGCTCCGTCAAAGACTACCGGCGCCAAGCCGCGTCTTCGAGACGCTGGCCTACGAAGCCACCGAGCCACACGCCAATCAGCTTTTCCCCCGATGATTTGAACGGAGTCCACTTGCCCCACAACGATCCTCTGCTAGTCGTCCTTGAGATCGGTAAGTACGATGTAACCAAAGTACTAGTCGACACGGGAAGCTCAGTTGACCTCATCTTTCGTGATACGCTTGAGAAGATGGGGGTAGATTTCGACGACGTCAAATCATCCTCACGAACCTTGACCTGCTTCAACGGCTCATCGGAAACCATCCTAGGGACGATCCGTCTCCCAGTCCGCGCATGCGGAGTTACTCGAATGGTTAAATTCGCCGTGGTAAACACTAAAGCCCCTTATCATGTCATTCTCGGAACCCCATGGATACATTCGATGCAGGCAGTTCCGTCAACCTACCACCAATGCATCAAGTTCCCTGGGGTGGACGGAACAATCAAGACCGTCCGCGGAGATCAGCAAGCCGCTCGAGACCTGCTAACCGCCACAGTCAAGCTGCAACGTTCATCATCCCTAGTCAACTCTGTCTCTCATCCGATCGCTCGAACTTTCCCTCAAAAAGACGAGGTTCTGGAGATGCCTATACACGATTCCGATCCAAGTAAGACGGTGCGCGTCGGTGCACATCTAGCCGACGATATGCAGCGAGCATTGCTCACATTCCTGAAGGAAAATGTGTTCACCTTCGCTTGGTCTATTTACGCGACTGCTTCGGAACGCTAAACAAGTATGGGATGAAGCTGAACCCAGCGAAGTGTACGTTTGGAGTCTCCTCCGGCGAGTTTCTAGGCTACATCGTTACCCAACGAGGGATTGAAGCCAACCCGAAGCAAATATCAGCTGTGCTCGATCTCCCAAGTCCTAAGAACAGTCGCGAAGTCCAGCGGCTAACTGGTCGCATCGCCGCTCTTAACCGCTTCATTTCTAGATCAACCGATAAATGTCTCCCTTTCTATGACCTTCTCCGTGGAAACAAGAAATTCGTTTGGGACGATAAGTGCGAGGAAGCCTTCTCCCAGCTCAAGAAGTACCTCACCACCCCTCCAGTCCTTGCAAAGCCAGACGAAGGAGACGTCCTCTCACTATACATCGCCGTCTCTAGCGCAGCGGTTAGTAGCGTCCTCATTAAGGAGGACAGAGGCGAACATAAGCCAATCTTCTACACAAGCAGGCGCATGACTGGTCCGGAAACTCGGTATCCAGCTCTCGAGAAGATGGCTCTCGCCGTGGTAGAAGCAGCCAGGAAGCTTCGACCCTACTTTCAATCACACTCGGTTGAGGTGCTGACTGATCAACCCCTCCGAACTGTCCTGCAGAATACGAATCGCGCCGGTCGACTAACCAAGTGGGCCGTAGAACTCGGGGAGCTCGACATAACGTATAAAAATCGCACAGCCCTCAAAGCTCAGGTCTTGGCTGACTTCATTGTCGAGTTAGCACCCGAACTAGAACATGACACCCAGCTCCCGAGTCAGAATTGGATATTACATGTGGACGGTTCCTCGACGAACAAAGGTTCAGGCGCGGGTGTTCAACTCCAATCCCCAACTGGCGAAACTGATACGACAATCGTTCAGCTTCGACTTCCCAGCGTCAAACAACGAAGCTGAGTACGAGTCATTGATAGCCGGCCTACGTTTGGCCAAGGCAGTCAAAGCAAAGCGAGTAAGTGCGTATTGTGACTCTCAGCTCGTCGCCAGTCAGTACAATGGAGATTATGACACCCGCAACGACCGAATGGATGCCTACCTCCGTATCGTTCAAGAGCTAGCAAAAGAGTTCGAATTTTTCGAGCTCACCAAGGTACCTCACGGTGAAAACGTTGTGCAGATGCACTCGCCGCCCTTGGAAGCAAATTACGCGACCAAATCGAGCGAACCATCCCGATACATCGCATCGACGAACCGAGCATCAACGTTTCCAATGAGACGGCTACCCTCGTTGCCCCCATTAACGACACAGCGATGACTGAGACCGATCAGCAGACCGTCGACTGGCATTTGGAGTTTATCAACTACCTCTCGCACGGCACACTGCAAACCGAGAAGTGGGAGGCTAGACGACTAAAACGACGCAGCGCGCATTATGCCGTCGTGGATGACGAACTTTTCAGATACAACGCATGCGGGGTCCTCCTCAAATTCATTCACGGCGATGAGATTCGACGTGCGATGGCCGAAACCCACGACGGCGCTGGAGGAAACCATT